TTACAAAGACCAGAAGAGGTACAAAGGGGCACAGCAAGTGAGTGAGGGGCAGAGCAAACACACCACAAGACAAGACAACTATCACTCAGTGGGAGTGCAGGAGGCTGAAGTTCAAATCCTGCCCAAGTTACAACAGAAGTTCATCGTTTCAGGATTACGTATCACATGCACAAAATATTTCTGATGGCTGTGAACTAGATTACTTAAGAGGAAACCTGTGAATACACAATTGCAACTCACAGCTTTAATGCTTTTATGGCATCTAGAAAACTGACTACCTTCAGAGTACGAGAGTTCAAACGCACAGAGCAAATTTAAGCAAACATTCATGTTGGCGGGCTCATGTGTCCCATCCTCCCAAGGTACTAGCTTTAGTAGAAAAAAGAAGAATCTAGTTAAACTACTGTTATCTTCAAGTAAGTAAAATCTACATAAATTGCAGCTACACAGGGTTGTGGTTTCGGTGTTTTTTGGTTTTTTTTTTTTTATTTTCCTCACAGTAGAAAAATATTAATAGATGGGAAGACTGCTGGATGGGAAGGGCCCCTGGAGGTCTCTACACCACGACCGAGATCCACCTCCCCAGGACACCTCCCAGGGCCAGGAGAACAAGTTCTCCCCAGTGCCCAACCAGAGCCCATCGAAGCTGCAAGTTCTATTTTAGCACCTGCTTTTACACCGCCTGCCACAACTGAGGAGTCTGGCTCCATCATCCTTGCAACAGCCCTTTAAATAGGTGTAAACTACTGTCAGGTCGCTCCTCAGACTCCACAAGCCCAGCAACCTCAACCTCTTACCTTTACTTATCCTTAATAAAAGGCATTGATTTGAAAAGTATGCAGGGTAACAGTGCCCAGAAATTAACAGCAGCCCTTGTACTTCTGCTTGTTTATGGTAAACACAGGTTAAGGGGGTTTTGAGAAAATACAGAAAAAGCTTTGATCAGTTTGTTATTCTAAAACATACAACAAACAGTTGAAATGACAAATAAAATACACATCTCCATGTTTGCTAAATTCTTTTCAAACACAGATACTTTAGCATACCTGTGAAGGAAGTATTTTGGCAACTGCTCCACTACAACGACAAGAAACTCTGAAGCTAATCTGCTCATTTGCAACAGGTTCCTCTCTATTGCTTTTGGAAGGGACTTCTGAGGAAGTCTTGCTCTCAGTCTGGCAGTTCCGATCACTCTTTCTCTCTGGAACCACACACCTCTCTCCAGTTTCTGCTTGACATTCCTCAGACACAGTCTCTCTCGCATGTTCTTTTTTCTGCCTTTTAGTTGCAATATTTGTCTCTTGTTCTGATTTTCTCTTCAGATGCAAACTGTTTTCTTGAGAGATATCATCTTTTTTCCCCTCGCTCCCATGAAAGTTTCTCCAAATAGAGATAACATCCAGCCAATACTTTGGTTCCTCAATGACAAGGCTTTTAATCTCATGCAGCATTTTCCCTGGAAGAGAAAGCAATTGCATGTTAAGTAGTTCAGTCGCAGCACTTCATGCTCCTATGGACTGAGAACAGCTGTTTACAGAGACTGCAATTGCATGTTAAGTAGTTCAGTCGCAGCACTTGATGCTCCTACGGACTGAGAACAGCTCAGACTCTGCTCAGATTTCATTCATGTGTGAATCCAGGAACCCCAGCAGCAGCAATCAGCTGGCACAGGCACAGCTGAGCTCTCAACACCCACATACCCCACCAGCAGAGACCCCGCCATCCCTCTGCTTACAAGCTCTGCAGAAACAAGATTAAATCATGAAGGGGTTGAATTCTGCAGAAGAATTCAGCAGCTCTAGAAAACCAGTCATTCCCAGGGCCCAGCCTACCATGCCATCTTCCCCAGAAAGCACTCGGTCCATGATTAGACATGTGGGACACTTTCCAGGATTGAAAGACAGACACGAACATTAATCACTTCAATTCAGCTCAGAATAAAAGCCACATGTTTATTCTTTCAGAATGGAAATCTTTCCTTGCTATTCATCAGCCTGCCTTCAATCCTACAAAGTCTCTGACACAGACCTAAACTTATACCCATGGGTAGTCCCCTTGAGCTAGCTATGACAAGACAGGCACAAGGAATAAACAGGCCAATTCACTTTAAGAACTTGAAGCTGGTCAATTTGGGACAGGGGGGGAGGTTATTTCTTTTTCTCATTTAGAATCACAGTTAAATCTGATCCTCAAAGCTGAAGGCCACCTGTGATATCCCAAATAAAATCTCACTAGCATGCTGATACCCAGCCGTCTTACTTGAAATCCTTATTCCATCACTGACAGACAATGTGATCTGGAGCAGCTGAGACTCACAAGAAATCCATGTATTGAATAGTTAAGTGACATAGGAGATACATCTGGATCCCCCTCACCTAAAGGAAAATGACTCATCATTAAAATGCACACAAGGGGCCCAGAACTGGACTTCAGTTTCATTCATTTTTTTGGTGGGTGGGTGATGGTGTTACACATACACATGTATGTACAGTGCCACCAGTACACAAGCTGGTGAGATATCTATTTAAAACATTTTAAAAGCCATTTTCAGCACTAGAAAAACATCTAAACCATACCTGGGTGAATGATACTTCAGAATTGATTATTATCCATTAGAACTACAGCTGTTAGTAAATAAATAAAGTAAATATGGATTTTATAAGGAGGGCTTGAAGTGGGGCTTTCTGAGCGCCCACCCCGCGGCAGCCCGGCGGGGCGGGCCCGAGGGAGGGGGTCTGCCCTACCTTTACCTCTGGAAACTGCA